TGTATTGGCAGAGTTGGGCTTAAACGTTAATTCAGTGTATTCAAAATCATTAAAACAGTTTCGAAACAATGAGATCTGTCACAGCTAGCTACTGTGTAGTAATATCTATGTGACATCAGTAGCATATGAAGTGAACCCTATTGTATTTTACTGTAAATTAAGAAAAAATCAATATGCTGTGATCTGCTCCAGCAAACTTATTACAGACATGTCTGTGTGACATAAGTGGATGCAACATGATGCAAAACACTCCAGTGAGAGAAAGCCTTATGTTTTATATTTTTTAATAAGCTGTTGCGATTTTTACTGCATAAAATTCTACTGCGTTGTTCGTTCTTGCATTACAGTTGCTTATTGTAATTTTGACTCTGATTATGCTATTAACTTAGTTCTCCTGCTACAAACTCTAGAATTTAACAGATAGTAGTCTGCCTGCAGAGAATTCGTAGAATGTTGCATTGTTCCTCAATCGATTGCCTTATTTTCTTTGTATTAATTCACAATTTGTATACAATTAAATATAAAAATTTTTGTAGTGCTTGCAGCCCTTAAATTTTGTGTTCATTCTTAGTCTAATTATTGCTGTGCAAGGACACCTAGCACAACAATGCCCAGCTATCAACAATGATTGATTTCAATGTTTATTTCTTAACCCTCACTGAGAGTGACACCATAGGTTTCCTGGCCTATTAGTACGTGAGTAGAGTGAGTAGAGACAGTTCAAGGCCACAGACGCCCACTTCAGATTCAGCGTACATCATGGCTGAAGGTTCACGCTACCTAGAATCAATAGAGACAAGGGCGTAACACCCGGCTTGCTTCCCTCAGTAACTAGCAAGTTGCGAACACCAGATTAGCTGCCAAGCGAGTGGCACACTCGCATACTGAGGTCACAAAAACCAGTACTCGTATGTGGAGGTCACACATGCTAATAGTGTTATACAGTGGTTACTCATACATGTTACTCATATATGAGTAATACTCATATATGGAGGCCACAGACCGGTACTCGTGTTCGGTGGTAACACAAACCAGTATCCGTATGGAGAGATTACACAACCCTGTACTCTCATACGGAGGTCACACATACCTGTACTCGCATGTGAACGTCACACACACCTGTTCTCGTATACAGATATTACACAAGCCAGATTTTTAATACGGAAGACATACAAACAGTACTCATATATAGAAGTCAGACACACCTTTGCTTGCATATGGAATCACACATACAGCTGTTTTAATATACAAAGATCACACAAGAGTGTGTGCATTTCGCCTGCCGTCAACTGCAGTGCTTCTCCATTAAGTCCTATCATATCACTGCATTTGGAACAACTTGAAAGAAGAGTCTAAAACCGTTGAAAATTCACGTGTGGTTCTCAACTCGGTTCACCTCAGTGTGCACCATAGCGTGTGGTTCTCATCATGGTGCGCCTCAATTAGCACCATAGCGTGTGGTTGTTCATCATGGTGCACTCCAGTGTGTACCATAGCATGTTGAGCTGTATTGCACGTGTACAGTGTGGAACTGGAGGCAATCATGTTTAACTTAAGAAAGGGAATCTAATCTCAACTCCTTAACTCAAGAGCCTTTCAAAAGTTAAGGACTCCGCTCTAAAGGATGCAGTTATCTATAGAGCTGTGTTTGGATGCTGGTAGCCTCACCTTGATAAACATATACCCTGATATAAACTTTTTGTTCTGACTCGAGTGTTCAAGTCTTCATATTCATGACTCTTCTGTGAGTTAAGGAACTGAGGACCTTCAGTCAGGGCAACGGGAACGAACACTTTCAGTCAAGGCTAAGGGACTGAATCCCTTCTCCATCCTTTAAGCTAAGAGATCGAGCACTTAAAAGTTACTTTCCCACTTGTTGCACAGTCTACAGAATGAAATTCGCCTCTGTGTTCAACGTGTCTGGTTCTTAGGCGAATCGTTTCGTAATAAAGATACCCAAGTTTTGTACACGTGTATTTATCACCAGATTGTGTGTGGTCTCCATCTGATTAAGATGGTGTGGGGAGGGTCTGCTGTTGACTCAAATGGTGAGGAGTAGTCTGTACCCGATTCAGACGGTGTGTATGGACTGCACCTGCCTCAGATGGTGTGTGCGTGTGGTTTGCACCCGATTCAGATGGCGTCTTGGGGCAACACCTTTCTCCCATATCTCATGAACTTCTTCAAAGATACCTGTGATCTTGCCCCGCCACCATTAATCACTACTTGGCTTCACTCCCTCTATTACAGTGTTGTAAAAGGGTTTTTGCTGTTACGTGGGAGCGACAGTCTCAACCTCTGAATGCAGTTGCTGAATTTATCTTCGCTGTTGCAAATCTGTGAAGTATGAAGGAAAGATGTGAAGGACGGACGTGGAGAATGGACGTGAAGGATGGGCGTGAAGGATGGGCGTGAAGGATGAACGTGAAGGATGAACGTGAAGGATGGGTGTGAAGGATGAATGTGAAGGATGAACGTGAAGGTTGGGTGTGAAGGTTGGGTGTGAAGGATGGGTGTGAAGGATGAATGTGAAGGATGAATGTGAAAGATGGGTGTAAAGTATGGGGTGTAGAGGACACGATTCCAGTGGAGACCTTTATTTGTACAACGTTTCGAACAACATTTGGCGAAACTTGTTTATATGTTACAATATTAGTAGTAAGTAAAACTAGTGAAGCACAACAGACGCACTACGGTGCTTAAAGACTCATGTTCAGTTAACTATGTTTAAATATCGTATGCGTTACTAGGGCGGATAAAGTATACTTGTCATTGTTTTGTGTGATGGTGTTGGTTAGCTTATTGAAGATTCAAGGCTGCTTCTGTTCGTGACTACCGAAATCGTAATAACACAATTGCAAACAGATAACGGAACATGAGCTTTAGGACTCACTTGCCATGAGTTCAAACCCCATCCGTTCCGTGATTCATCTTCTCTTCGGTTGGTCGTGTTTCTGGCATAGTACCAGGTTCAGCTTTGTCCCATTCCAAGAAGTGTGAATTCGATTTGTGATGTCCTACGCAGGTGTTATCGCATTATCTGTTATTGTATTGTTCCTTTAGACCAGTGATCCCCCAAACTCTTCAACTCATCGACACCTTCATGAGGTTTCAGATTGTTCATACATTTAGTATATGAAAATAATTTAATAAATAGTATTTTAACTATTAGTACGACGAAAAAATTATAATAATAGATAATTATAATAATGACTTCATAAAAAATAGATACTATTTAAATTATGAAAAATGTAAGATTTAACATAACCTTTTTCTTAGCTAGAGTTCTATTTACATAGCTAAAACCAGCTTCGGTCATGTACGAACTTGGGAAAACAAGTAAAAATGGCTTAACCACAGCAGAAAGCAAACCACGTTCCCAGCCATTTACTGGCCCCTTTTGACCCCCAGCCTTTATCGACCTTTAGGGGTCGATATTGACCACTTTGGGAACCCTGCTATAGACAGACTAGTAGACTTCTGACTATATCGTTGATGTATACCTTTCCACAGCCTCAGTGCGGAGTTCATTACTTTCCTGCATCCTTGGGGTCCTATATATGACCTCGAGGTCATTGTGAAGTCTTGTACGTTCTTTTTGTAGTGTCTATTGCGACGTCAATGCTGACTTTCTGGAGGATAAGGGACATAGTGTCTGCCACAGTACCTCCGTGTGTTGTTTCCCAGCTATGGCATTGTGTATTGCTCTAACTTTACATGGAAGGCAGTTAAGTCCCCCTTCCAAAATTTTTCACTGCAGATTCTCAGTGCTCGCAGGTAGAACCCAGTGAATAATCCCCCCCCTCCTTTTTTTATGAAACTAGGTTGGAAAAGAAATGGATGAGGCCGTCTTTGTTGGTAGAGTTGCCATATACTGCTAGTCTCAGCCACGCACACCATCTTCTATAATAAGCCTGACGTAAAGAAAATAACAGGATATCATTTGTCTCCTTCCAGGATAAACTGTGACTATGCCCTCGTCTGCTACACCTGGCGTTACTATATAAGCGCCAGGTTCCTTGCTTCTGCTTCAGAATCTCCACGACTGATGTGCTCTTCGCACCTACTCCTAGGTTGAGGGACTGATTACCTCATCTTCTGTATATAGTCCTACTGTCTTCAAGCTATGTCCTAGAATTTGTATTGATAAAGCCACTGGATGGCGAAACGTCTACAATAAAGATACCCAGATGTTGCACTTGTGTCTTAATTTCATCATAAACTGTATTGATGGTTCCACAAAGATAAGACGTTCTTGGAGATGTAGGTTTAACCACCTGTTTACGATGATCAAAATATCTTCCTACCTCAACCAGGCGATGTGTGGTGGAAGGATGTTACCCAACAGTGGTATACTATCACCATAGTATTCATGGGTGAATATGTCAAACTTTTTTTCGAAGTACTTGAGAATAGTTTGAAGTGACGCTTCCAAGGGAAAGAAGAGGTCCCACACACTCATGACCTGCTGATCAATATACACCTTGCTGCTCTTATATGTTATGCGACCTTGTACTTACTCATGGTATGTTACATTTAATTCAGGGTGCATCACACAACTACTACTTGCTAAATTGAGAATTATGGATTATTCAGTTTTAGGGGCCTCACTTGTGCTGTGAATGGCTGTTTGGTTCATCTTGTTTTGTTGAGTGTCGTCTTCCTGCGTGAGTATCGTTTTCTGTTTGTTGAGTAGTCTTGTTTGTTGAGTGTCAACCAGCCATGAGGGGGTACTTGTACCTCCTCCCAAAAACAGCCAGGATGAGAGGTTACTCCAGTCGAATTAACATAATATGTAACCCCTCTAGTCTGATCTCTCTCTCGCTTGTTATGCTGAGTACACATGCTGACCTCTTTTGTATGAGTTACAAGCCTAGAGTAGTAAGCATTGAGAATCGGTATCGATATCAGCAACAAAAATTGGTATCGTTCAATCCTTACTTATGATCCTCCCAGATTACTTATGGCCCTCAGATGACTGACCGCTGCCCGAGTCTTACCTTCTGTCCAGCCTTCATGGAGGTGTCCTTGACGTCCTTGATCCCTTTTTTGGCATCCTTAACCAGCCCCGTCAGAGCCTTCTTCGTCTGAGACCCGCGGCGGGAGTCGCTGATGGGCGGCGCTAGCGATGACCTGCAGACAGGGATGGTGGTGTTGAGAGGTGGTGGTGGTGTGGCAAGTGGAGGAGGTGACAAAGGGAAGGAATGAAGATTGGATAGGGAGAGCAAGAGAAACTGAATATTAGAATGTAATGGAATATCGGCAGTGAGGTCAGTGTAGCAACAGGTAAGAATACTAAATCTTACACAATGTTTCGATATTCAAGTATTTTAATCAAACGTAAGAAAGTTTCTATACCAGAGCAGTGTTTATTAACATAATATGCAACTTTGGACCACCAAAGGGTAAGTGTCCTGCATTTCATATTACAAGCACTGTAACTTTATTATTCATTAGCGACTAATTTGATTATTATATTTGGAAAGACAACAAAAGATTGGACGTGGAGGCCATTGCAGTATATAGCGAAGTAGTGGATTAAATTATCCTTATTTTGGCCACCAAACTAAAAATTTATTTACAAATGTATTATGATGATTAATTAACATTTATTGTCATTTAAAGTTTCATGAGCATAATTATTAATCTATTTATGTTTTACGGGCGTATAATAAAGATTTATTTGCGGTCATGTTAAGTGGCCCTCACTCACCATCATAACACTACCTACACCAGTGATCTCATGCTTAGTAGTGGTTGGATATTGCTACTCGAGCAAGTTGATGTAGTCTCATATTAAGAAAAACAACTGTGCAGATTATATGTGCACTACGGAAGTTTCTGTGGGAGTATTTTACCCCAACACTGTTACTGTACCATGTGAACATTAGTGTAAAGAGAGAGTAGAGCAAAGTTCAGTTCCATTTATGGCAGCTTGTGCTGAGGATTGAGCTTAGCTTATTGACCTGAGGGAAATCAATGCATCATGGCACCTTTCTTTTGTATTTGGATGATCTGACATAGTTGTAATATATCTGCCATGTTCTTAACTACAACACATAATGTCGACATTTACATACAAGTCAAGGTGATGCAGTATGGCGAACAACCGAGTGTAATTGTAGCCTCATTGGAGGATACATTCATAAATAGTACAATGCCTTTGAGGAAAGAGATGGAGGAATAGTTATCTTCACTTAGAAGCCAACAACATTAATTAGGGAGGTGATGGCTAGACCAAAGATGGTGAGGATTGTTGGCAAGTTTCTCAGAGGACTAGAAAACATATCTAGTCTCTCTTATCCCTCATCATGAAGACGACCCTGGTACATCAGAGACAGTCAACAAGTATGTGTTGAAGCTCATAAACTACATGCGAAAGCCATTTACAGGCTCTGTTCGCCGTTTTGATGTGGTATTCGACAGTATCAAAACGATCACTCAGAAGAGCAAGATAGGGAAACAGTTATAAGTGGAAACAAAGAAGCTTCCTGGAAACTGTCCACAATTTTTACTGGACGATTAGACGGAGACAGGCGAGTAGTTTCCTGGGATTGTCTTTGTCTCGGCCAGAAACGCATTGCTCGCAGAATTAATAATGGCTGTCATCTACATATAAGGAAGCAAATATCCGCTGCTTGTAAATTCGTATCTGTTCACACAGATATTGTTGTACTTGTTGTCATTTCCGGTACCTGGACGCAAATCACATGGTACATGAATAAGTGTTGTGAATTGCCTGCCTGTCATGCTGTTACTGGGGGCGACACATCTGGTTTTCCTGGAAGAGGAAAACGTACAGCTTAGACATCACGTAGCAGGTTGACTGATGTCACGCACGCAGTGTACATTTGCACGCACGCCAAAAGCAACTAACATAACTTCCTCTAACCAGAGAGAGATACAGCGTGCTGATGATTGAAAACAAAGCAAAACAGACTGTTTACTCTGAAAGGCAGAGAAATAGAAAATATACTACCAACACTTGATCCGAGTGGGATACCAGGCTGGCCATATACGTTACCAAACACCTGACCACACAAGAGAATTTCGGGTGGAAACGAAACAACTAATCTACAACGTAAGACATGTGAACGACAGCTGTCATCTTCTGATACAGCATGTGTTGTGATGAAATGTGGCTGTACTAAAACCTACGGAGGCTCGTGATGTAATGTGGATGACTTTGCCAACCTCTAGTGCAGCATGTAGCGCTGTGATCAAGTGAGATTGCAGTAAAACATGAAGTGGATCGTGTAGTGATATGGATGATCCCATCACCTCGTGCAGCTTGTAGTCTTGTTATCATGTATGGCTGTACTTAAGGATGTAGAGGATGGTCAGCAAACATCTGTCCAGCACAGCAAGTGTGGTGATTAAGTCCTGATTCTCTGCGAGGCATGGTCATGGAACGCGCCTGGAACACTTTCCAGGTATATTGTGAGCGAGGACGGTGATGGGAGAATGCTCCACAGTAAATCATGAGTAATTCTCTGCTCATCATTTTCATACCGTAGAGTTAACTTGAAGTAGTCGGTGCTAGTGATGTTTTAAACAACTATTTCCACACTAAGTAAAGGTGACTAAATCTAATTTGATATAATTTATATAAACTTCGTAGCCTTTTTAGTGTGTAATTAATGTTAACATTACTAATAATGTCCGAGGCAATTTTGTCTCGTGCTTTTATAATGTCACCTGACTGGCATTATTTGGCAAAATGGCTACCAAGGCCGACAAATCTTCAGAAATGTTCAAAATGATAAGTGTTGAAAATTTCACGCTTAGAACATAAAATGTAAATGATCCTATATTAGCACCTATCCGCAAGATTATCTGTCAGTACTTGGTGCAAATAATCATAATTCAGAATGTGCATATGAACCATTAAGTCTAAGGTATTCGGCACCCTGATTTCACTAAGCACAAAGGATTCAACACTCCTAGGTCAAACTTCACTATACCTCCTGGACGATGGCATAGATTCTTCTGGCTGGGGAGTACTAGAGTGAGGGGGCGTGCCAGAGTGTGGGGGCGTGTCCGTTCGAGTTGGTGACACGGGCGCGGTGGAGGGTGTGGACGGGCGTGGCGGACGTCTGAAGCTGAGGAGAGGCGTGCCGCTCTGAGGCGTGCCGCCTGTCGGAACGGCAATCAGATCTGCAGGAAGAAAATGCATCAAGGGCCACCGACAGGACACGTACCAAAATTATAGCACTCAAGACCATCCACAAAATTACTTTAATTCTTCGGTTACGCCTTCACGGTTTTCTCTGCTTGTTTTATTATGGAACTTACCTAACCGTAAGTGGGTTAACATAACTTTACTGGATTGTCCTGAACTGGCTTAACATAACTAAATTGACTTAACTAATTAAGCCTTATTATTCCTTTGACCATTTGAAGGAAAAAATCATTGCAAATTATTTACCATGTTAACTTTGTTTTCCCTTACGTA